ATCGAATAACGATGTACCTCAATAATTTCGTACATGCATATATTATTCATGCAGTTTCGCAGTCAACGCGATAAGATATGAAAATTCTTGCCATAACAAAAGTATAACGATGGCCTGCCTGATACACGAGTGTGTTCGACTGCATGTTATTCCAGCGAGTAAAAAATAACGCAAGTTCACATAAATGCATAGTAGTGAAGTACAAAGAGTTGTACTTCGAAGAGTACAAAACCCCTCGAGAGTTTAATTCCACGGGACGAATTAGTTGTCAACGAATATATAATAATATTCGTCGAACCAAATGGCTCGCCGAGTGGACGTTTCGAAGAACACGAGGGTCTTTGGGTAATTTCGAGCGACGGCATTAACACGATGAATGGAATTAGCAGCGCGGAAAAATATATTTCGTGCCGGTTACGTACTTTTTTCCTTGCCGTACGTACGTGTACCATTACTGTACGCAACGTTTAACGCGAAATTGATGTACACCGTTTAACTACCATTTGACGTCTGGATATCTTTACATCGTGCTGAATTACGTGGTCTGCTCACGATTTATTCAGATTCGCCGTTGTTGTCATTTAAAGACCAGGTTTGTCAACTCTTTTTGTCTGTTTACCGAATCGAGAATACTGTATTAAGAATCCGTGAACCTCGGAGAACTGATTCTGTACTACAGTCACTCCACGTCGCCTCCAAAACGTTTCTGAACCCATTATTACCGTAGATTTAATCGGCAACGTTTGTGGGGCGAGAAGTCTCGTCGTGGTCGTCGGATTAGCTGCAACTCGAATGGAAATGTGCCAAAACTCGTGCTAATACGGACCGATCTGTGAACTAGGCCGCCGGACATTATCTTTCGTAATTAAAGTCGCTGCGACTCCTTTAATATTGTGCACGTCCGTCGACCCAATAGAAATGCTCGACACCTGCGTTTACATGCGCGCGAAAAGCAATTAATCGCTGGCGCAATATTTCTCCTCCACTGCGTCGAGTAGAAGCAAAACGAAAGACAGCGGGGCCAAGCTTCTATTCCGACCCGATAATTCATGGATATCTTTGCGTTTAGCAGAAAATAATTTTCTACCGATCGCGTCTTTCGGGAATTGTGTCGACTTCAACGTCAGACGTACCTACGTACCCTATTTCCGTCGATCGTTGCGAAGCGATGAATTCGCGAAAACGTGTTTACGGTCCGTTTCGTCTTGCATCGAAACTGTTGGATTCTGTGACTGGAACGCCCGTCGAAAGGCAGCCTCCCCGATATATATTAGATTTCACGGATCTTGTCCCCCGGAGAATGCAAATGCGCCCCGGTGAAAACGCGGACGAAACGCGCGTAACCACTTTCATGGGGACAGCTTGAAGTTCCGGTCCGTGAAGTAATCATACCTGTTTCGCGTCTCCCACGTTGGCCAAGTATCGTGGGACTTTTTAATGGGTAACTCCGTAGACCTACGATTGCGAAACAAAATTTCACTGGATGGTCAACCGGGGGGGGACGCTCCGCTATTTTAAAGTCGACGGAGAAGAGGTAAAAATTTGGATTCGGCGTGCATTTCGCAGCTGTCGGGTAATCGATCATTCGAATTCTCCCGTACGCGTATGGCTTTACGGAAGACCAACTCAGAATGCAACTTTTCGGCACGATTGAATGCGGTTGACGTAGTAGTATGTCTTTCTTAAATAGGATCTAGAATAGTACAAAATAGGGAGAAATAGGTTTCCCTGTATGTAAAATTTGACAAATAAAACTGAAGTAGTTTCTAAATATTTTTAGAACTAGTCTCCCGCCATCAAAGTGTTAATATGATCGGTCCCGAGAATTGTCGAATCTTGCGTAACATTATTCTCGATCAACGATTCGTCTCGGTAAGATGACTTCCTTGATGATTTTCCTCGAGGGATGGTCGCGAAGCGGATACGATGAACTGGATTGGGTGCGGATCGTAAAGACGGAAATCGATACAGTTCGTGCCATCTAGCGCACTAAATGCCATACATGTGCTCGCATCGAAATTAATAGGCCGCTATTATTTGGCCTAGTGAATCGAGTAAGTACTCCGCTGGTTCGTATCGGGTACGACGACCTGTCTCTTGAACGGAAAGAATAGACGATTCGGTGATGCACCATTTACCATGAGGGACGCGTTCGTTGTGAATATTGAGTAACGATAGGCATCGATGACATTCAGATCGAAGGTCGCTGCTGATGGTTTCTCGTTAACTTCACCCTGGAGTTGGTCAGCGGTAAGGATAATGGAGAAGATTTACCTTCGTTACTTCTCGGACGTAATTAGTAGTCACCAAGGAAGGTTGTGAAAAATTAGGGAAAAATGAGGGAATCAGCGTCTGTAATAACCAACCAGTCCTAGGAATTGCTATACGTTCTCTTGGGTTTTAGGAATTGGAGACTGTTTATCTCACCCCTGTTACCCAAAATGTTGCGTGCCGTTTTACGTGTGAAAATCTCCAAACGTTTCTTTAAGCTTTAAGTTATACCGTTAACAGAAACATAATACTGAATCTGGTATGATTCTATTTCTTCAATTTCTATGTGAAAAAATTGTGTTATCCCCCCTCATCCTCATAACGCTTCGCTATTTTCTTACGTTCTATTTTTTGTCTGACTCAAATGGATACTCACACTTAGGACATTGTATTTATTATTTTCTTTCCGTAAAACAAGTCAGCAAACTCTTTGAAAATACTCGAGAGCGTCAAATCACATTTTCATCACCTACTGGCAAGATTACATTGCAAGACAGGAATGTTGTTGCAGCGGTTACATTTTCAAACGATGTATGAAACACGAATCGCGGAGGTATCGTCTCCACCCCGTAAGCGTAACAGAAGCTCGACGGTCGCGTGTTCCCATCGACAAAAAGGTATTCTTTGACTTTGTGCCAAACGCGAGGATAGAGTACCGAGTTCCCGCACTCATTATAGGTATCCACGAGATAACCATGTGCCAAGTTTCGCCCTTCTTTCATAAGAAACTTTAAGCGGTGCCTCCGAAAAGGGAAGACGAGGCAGTGTCATCGAACGAGAAAGTGGGGGCAACAGTCCGTCGTTTTATCGTGTTCTGCGATCTCCGAGAAAAGAATAAAACTCGCGAACCCTTCGAGAACGTTTTCCGCAACAGCGATTCTATAGAAGGAGCGGATTGGGGTGGCGTTGTTGGGACGTAACTTTCATCGAATCGACGATACCCGATCCCGTCGAAATACCGGAGGCTCGTAGTCCCCTCGATTTTCGAATATTTGGCGGGGTGCCAGGCGGCCCTTTTCTTCCCATCGGACGGCGAACCGTCGCGGAACCCGCGACATCGGATACGTATTAATGGACAAACCTCATCAACGGTCTGTTAAAGACACGTTTAACGATGCCAGGACCCGACAAGCGGCTCGCGTTCCCCTGGCCCACGGCTTTGCAGCTCATAAATCCCGGCGACAACGAACGCGGCAACCCGCGCGCCCGGTAATTGGCTCGGCATGCGCGCGAGTACGCGATATCGGCGGTTCTCTCTCACCTTTACCACACCCGTCTTTCGTTCATCTCCGTTTCAGAACCTCCATCGTGATCCTTTCTTTTTCGGAAGTTTCGTGGAAACGCTCCGCTAACTCGCCTACCCCCAGGGTCATGTTCACGAGGATTTGTAGGCGGGTTGTAAGATCGCTGTTCACGATTCTATCGCGATGGGTTTGAAGTGTAGTTACTTATGGTACTCTGAATTCATCGCGTCAGACGTATTTCACGTATATCTCGTCCGTATTTCCAACAATTAATAACTCGGAGACGATACCTCGAACGCAATTTGGTCATTTTTGATTTTTGTCTTACAATTAGTTCGCTATGTAGAATCCATCCTGTAAAAGTGTCACATATTTTTATTAATGCTCTGTATATCACACTCGAGACAGGAATTAAACGTTTTTAGTAAAACCAACGCTGAACTCTGGGCAGTTTTCAGGCTTTTTACGGTGCAATTAAGAAGTGTTAGTACCTAAAATTCGTGCGCTCCAGTTATCAATATATTTCGGAAGACAAGTTATACGTTCGGTCAATCTCTCCTGGATCCTATCTCGGCAGTTTCTGAACGGCAACCTCGTCGGCCATTACCTGCTGACAGAGCTATAAGAAACGAGGGGTTAATATCGTGCTTTATCGATTTCGTGTCATGCTAAACTGCTCTCTGCCGCCGAAGGAAGCCATATTCGTGGCCCTTTTCCCAGTCGTTGTAGCTAGAAACGTTTCTCGTGGTTCACGGTCGGCGCTATCGCGCGATCTGCGTAAACAGTCACCCGACGTAAACTCCCCTGATCGAGAAAATTTTTCAAACGTACGCTCGTAACACGGAGATTTTTAGCCACGGTGTAAAAAGTGAAAAGATTGATTGTAAATGTGCTGAAATTAATTTGAAACACGATGAGCCGTTACAACTAAGAAAATTGTCTCAAGTATCGATGACAGAGGGGGTTTGAGTTCGATTGACGAAAGCGCGATAAGAATGTCACGAACCCACGATACTGCACCGGTTCGAGAGTCGGCGTGATTCGCGTCCTCGCAATGTTCGGAGGCGTTAGCAAGGGAAATCGAGAGGCGAGGTCGACATTCGAGGAATCCTCCTGGCGAGGCTACTAGCTCCCTGCTGTACCTGTTCGTGCATTATCTTCCGTTAACTCCCGTGCATACCGTTATCCGTTCCTCGCGTTTGCAACTACCAGCTGTGCCGCCGTGCCGGTCGAGCTGGAATTCGCGTAGGTCTCGATCTCCCACGATCACGAGCGCGAGCGTGTGCACCTTTACTCTTACTTTCGCCCAACGACCTGCTGCTATTTATTGCCAATCGGATCGCGGGATGGTGACACCGTTCTTTTTTTTTTTCTTTTAATCCAGATTGCTTCACGATTGTCGTCCCTCGAGATACACTGGCAATTATTGTATTCTTTTTTTTAAACACTTGCACAAGATTCAATCGTCTATTTCTTCTGTTTCAGAACATGAAGTGAGAGAATCGAGTCTCTTTCAGGGATGAAATCCTGACGAGAGAGCAAAGTCTACCATCATAATGGAACCACCAGTTACGAGCAAGGTCCTGCGAGCTCCTAGCCTGAAGAGGGGTCAGGAGAACGTCAGGATTCAGGATAGGGTGAGTAGACGAACGTGTAGCCTCTTGATCCTCTGGTCTCTGACTAGACCTATTATGAATGTACGGTGTGGTCTTGGACAAGATCTCTGGTATGTACAGTAATGTCTCGATGAGTGCGACATACACAGGTCCACTTCGGAGCATTTGTGGCAAGGCGGAAAGGTTTTCAGCGTCCTATCAAATTGTTTCTCGTCCGAAGCTTCTGTATAAATTTTGTTTTTTAAGCCCTTCAAAGAGACAACTCTAACAAGTATCTGTAATCCATTTAATAGCAAGATAATTGAAAACTTTGATCAGCACTGGCAACGTTATAGATATCTCAAGTTTCTGTCAATTCCTAACAGTTGATTTAACTACCAGACTGCATCTCTTCCAGCAAAGAGATCACAGTAGGCGGACACATGGCGTGCGTGTGCCGCGCTTTAATAAAGCAATCTTAGAAATTAGTTTAAACCGTTGCAACGCGTTAACAAGAACTAATTCTCTTTGACTAGCCGGCGTGTCGTGCGCGTGCCTTCGTTTCGTTTGTCGATAATTTTTCGCCGTTAGCGTAACCAGGAAATAGGCGTTGCGAAGAACCAACGCATAGACGGCTACAAAAGTACGGAACAATCGTGACATAAATCATCTCGCTCTGCAATTTACCGTCATTACCATTCCTACGGTCCTGTCTCGGGTAATCGTTACTACCGCTTCCAAACTTTCCAATGGTGCTGAATGTAGCGATATTGTAGATACGGACCGATTGCATTTGCTATTCCACACAATCGACTGTATCCATTCGATTCTTGACGATAGAAACCGCCAACGATTGATCCAACAAAACGCGTCGCGATATACGAGATCTCTGTAGCGGATCAAAAGACAATTGCCGCAGGTAGATCATGTCGACTTTCCGATACACGTCGGATACACATTATGCGTCCTTGCCGTTGCAGCAGCCACCTCGGATTGACGTCACGCGAGTCTCCTTTTTTCGAGGATTCGATTCCTGCATTCCCTCGGCGACGACAGTCAGGCAGCGAAGGCGCGCGTGCGTGGGCGGCGTGCACTTGCAGCCCGAATTCCGCGTCCCGTGGCGCTTTGTGGAAAATCTACCGCTCGTGTCCACGCCACTTTCCCTCTCGCTAATGCTCCTGCTCGCGGATCGGGTTACCTATACGCACGCGAGCGAACCGCCCCACGCTACGCTTCCCCTCGATGCCCCAGTTGCATCGCTTCTCTAACAACACCGTGTCAATCTTCCTCATCCTTGTGTTACGCGTTCTCTTGATTTCTTGTACGAGGCTTTCAGATGCATTTTTGATATTGGGGCCAGAGGAAATATGCATTGATTATAGGATTTTATGGTGTTTCTAATGGTAATGCTGATTGTGAAACGTTACGTAAGGCCCAAGTTTTTTCTTAGGGGAAAAATTGTATCAAATTTTTGTAACAATTCCAATCTATGATATCGATCAATCTGGCTACAATATCTCCTGACGAAACTTTGGGATAATTATTTCAGAAGTTTAGACCGTTCACATCTGAAAGCCAAAAAAGGAAGGGGACACGAACGAAATGTGAGACCTTCGAGTAGTATAATGCCTTTTAGTGAACCATCGTTGTTACTAGAACTGGGGATTTTGTAAGAAATTGTAGTAACAGTGATTAGTATAAATTAAATTATGTTTTGCAAATCAAATATAACAAACGCAATTTATGTGAATCAATTGCATTTACATGCCACCACCTGTTCCAATAACAATAAGGTTCACTTAGAAGCACAGTACTAATAATAACGTTTCAGTAGCATGACAGTTAACTTGATCAGCAATGAGAGTATTAAGCGAGAGAGCAAAATGATAATTGGCATAGATCGGTTTGATCGTTCGAACAAGTGGTCGTCGATAAACGCACCGTCTTCCTTACCAGTTGATTCGTAGCCTCGAAGACTATGTTGGCAGGCGCTCCCTGTCAGTCGAGTCGAGTACTATTTCCTACTGTATTAGTAGATGTTAACGGGTGTACATTTAAAAGCTGCGTCTAAACTGAAATTCCAGTGTGTTCACGGTGCATTCGAAATCTGGCCTGTGATTATACAAATCTCCCAAGGATGAAATCGATGATTTCAAGTCGCGATTTCAGGTTTATAAGCACGTTTGTAGGCGAAAAAACCAGTAGACACCCACGCGAGACCCGAATTTGCGATTGTGTGCAAATGAACCCGTGGGCGACAACCGAGGAATTATCGGTTATGCGCAACACCACGATTTATCGTCTCGAGCTTTTCAGATTGACGCGTAACCATCAAGTAGTAGGCAATATTTGAGTGACGTTCCGATTCGTTCGATTAGATTCGAAAAAAGTGTTCGCTTAATGTCGTTTACCTGTCCAATCCAGTGGGTCGAGAATACCTTTGAATTAACCATTTACGAAGTTCCCGTACAAGAAAGGTCCTCGACCTCCGTTGATCGAGTTACGATCGATTTCCTAAATTGTAACCTCTGGTCGCGTACCGGGAACGTTGTGTAGCGCCCAAAAATCGGAAGTTCGACACCAGAATTCTGAACTCGTTCCCGACTGACCGAGACCTCGACGAAATTCATTTGCAATGCAGTCGGGAAACAGGTGTACTGGTCGCAGCTGGTGCGGGTCGTTGACCGTGTTCGACACACTTTAGCCAGACAGCCCTCTGCTTTTACTTTTTCTCGAAAGGGCCAATGTCATCGTCCTCTGCAACGACTCGAACAACCGCGTTCTTAACCGCTTGTCGTACCAAAGATAGAATAAAGATGCTTCGAGCCTCTTTCGGAATCTGTCGGAGAGACTTTTAATGTTTCTAATTTGTTATACGGCTCATTCTGTGTTCGAATAATTACATACAGCGAGCGAAACATCTATCCGTTGGCATCGTCAGAAAACTTGCAACAGAGTGAAACGCCGAAGGAAGATAAAAAGAGAAAGAGAATCGGATGCCCATCACTAGCTACGACTTCCTGTTTTGTCTAACGGTACGACACACCGGTGAATCTTCCTTGACGCTCCCATCGCGGCTGATCTTTTGATCTCCACGGCGGGCTTCTCTGCGAATCAATTCGTTAATTTAAAGCCGCGATATCTTGGCGTGCCTCTGGGCGGGGTCAAAAGTGAGGAGTATCGATTTTCATCGCTGATAGTGTTAACGTTGATCTATGACTCGACAAAATTTCACGTAGTTTTTTCATTCCCACTTCGATCTGCATTCGCCATGGATCACACGTTGTTCGTAGATTGATAAATCGAAGAGCCCTTGACTTCTTTTCTGGAAATATTAAACGCAGATTTGTGGAATAAAATGCTGACGGAATTGATGTTCGTACGGTGGATGTTTCGTAATTCATAGCCACGGTTCTATAAACCTTTTAGGCGTTATTACGTCTGGGGTTAATGGTTAATACGGAGCGCCGCGCCTTTGCTTGCCAACGGCCCTTTTACGTCCCTTCCGATATGGCGCGCGGGCTTTTAGTACTCGTCCGCGCCGGCTTTTAATAGGATTGCTTCTTATCACGCGACCCGCTATGCTTCTCGCTTTTTATCCACCATTCTACGGAAGGCGCGGTGTATACAAAACAAAGAGTTGACGAGTCTAATTCACTTGTCCGTCCGACGAGTAGGATCTTAATTTTCGGTTCGAAATGGTTCCAAATTAATCGATGATTTCGCGACACCAATAGAATACACAAGCAACGAATCCCGAGGTGGTTTGGTCGATCATACATCTCGCAGCTGGCAATATCCGATCGCGGAAGCGGAAGAGACGTTGCCTCCGCGGAACGGATACGAAGATCAGTGTTTGAATGAATTATTCGTTCGTTCCATTTTCGTCGTGCCAGTTCCACCGACAATTTCTATCGGAGTTCATCCCTTATTCATGCTCAACATCCCTTACTACTAAACTCAGTAATTCCATCCGTTGCCGGCTGACGTGCGTGGAAACAGACAAGATGCAATTTTCTGTTAAAATGCACGTATGTACACTCGCGAGCAAACTCGGCTTTCGCTAGGGAAAAAAGTGACGTAGAAGAAAGGCCTTCTACATGCCTTCTACCACTCGGTAAATTTATTTTAAGTACAGAAATAAATGTTAAATCGAATGTTAATTTGACATAAATTTCAGTAATTCCCGATACCAAGTAGTAGGAGGCCTGTTCCCTAATACGTTACTTCTTCCCCTAATGGAAGTCGAGTTTGCTCTCGGGTGTATATTCGGTCGTGAGGCAAGCATACTAGATGAATTACCAGGATTTCACTTTTTTTTTATCGACACAAACCAAAATCACTGCCGTCAGAGTCGGGAGATGCTCTCGCAACTCGGTCGAGACTGTCGATCGAATGACGCGTGACGATAAATGATCACCAGAGTGCGTCAATTGTTTCCACGCTTCTCACGTTAGCGACGTCGCACGTTGACCGTCTTCGGTATGCAAAACATCGACGAAATTGGGTTTGTCGAACCGTCGTCGCGCATCCACCAACAACTCGATTACATCATCCCGACGAAATAGCTTGCCGCCGCGGTTCTCTGTGCGCGCGCGCCCGCATCGTCGCGTCAATTGTAAAATATACAACCGCAGATAGCGTGACGTACGAGGCACGTGGACGAAATAACGTAGCGTTTCGAGCGACGAAATATTTATCGGCTACATTAACACGGCGACTCCCACATTTTATACGAAGATTACCACTGGTGTCCGCTGCTGCTGCTTGTTAAAACAGAATAATCTACTTCATAAAGTGACATGGCGGAGGCGAGGGAAAGTTGCGATAACGCTTTTATTGCCGCGGAGTGAGGGAAAAAAGGTGTATACGCATTCTAAAACTGTGCACAGAGATAAAAGAAAAGTGAAAGATAACGTCTGCGCAAGAATCGTTACGTTTCCCTGTAACTCCAATTATTGCACTTTTACCGAACCTATATTTCGAACGTTTTCATACGTAAGGTTTATTACATTCCACTTGGATTTCCTTATGGCCGTTAC